AAAAAAAAAAAAAAAGGAAAGCTCCAAGCATCCTCTAGACGTCTCACTGCAAGTCAATTTAGATTCATGGTGACCATATAGGAAAGAGTAGAACTTCCCGTCTTTCTCTCTCTCGGATCCTTAAGGGAATCATAGCCCAATGTGTAACCACCACTCCACCAAGCCTCCTCATCCTCTAGAGCAGTGGTTCTCAACCCTCCTAATGGCATGACCCTTTAATACAGTTCCTCATGTTCTGGTGACCCCCAACCATAACATTATTTTGTTTCTGCTTCATGACTGTCATTTTGCTGTTATGAATAGGCGACCCCTGTGAAAGGGTGGTTCAACGCCCCCCTTAGGGGTCGCAACCCACAGGTTGAGAACCGCTGCTCTAGAAGGATGCTCAATTATTTTTATTCCTGTTAATTTTGACATTTACCAAATAAGTCAAACATCTTAACGGTTAAGTCGTAAAAAAATGGTAAGCATGGGGCTGAGAAGCAGGGGAAAGAGGGACTGTTTAAGGGAACACAAGACAGGCTTCTCAAGTGTTGCTGTTGCTTGTAAAAATTCAAGTTGAATAATTTAATTCAAGCTACGTACTTGTATAAATATTTAGGTATTTCTATTTCACTAAAGAGTAAAATATACATTTATTACAGAAAGCACAACATGACATTTCCTATTGAGATACATGACACAAAAATTAAATAAATAATTAATGGAAAGAAATTTTAAATTTTTTACCAACCTAATACCAGAGGAAATTGGCCCTTTACCCCACTAATTGGTCATATGAAAATTTACCATTACTTACCTGGAGGACACACAAGCTGGGGCATGTCCATGTTTTGTGTAGGATTCATGGGCTGTGCAGATACAATGGCAGGGTCAAGTGTCTGGTTTTCAAAATCCAACATAGAATCCTACAAATTAAGTTAAGATTTAAAAAACTTAAAGTCGTTTTGAGAATGATGAGGGCAATGAATGTACAAATGTGCTTCACACAATTGACGTATGTGTGGATTGTGGTAAGAGTTACATGAGCCCCTAATAAAGTGATTTAAAAAAAAATTAAGTCAAATATCAACTCTTAAACCTCCCATTATATCTTTAACAAATATTGTACATACCTGAATGAAATTATACGGCCCCTGCATTTGTGCCATAAGGTCTTGTACTCGCTGTCTTCTCACGAGAGGATCTGCCTGAGCCACTGGAGTCAAAGTGTGGGGCTCTGGTACTGAAGGAGATGCAGCCTGTGGTTGCTGTTGGAGTGAATTTACTACCTGAAGTGAGAGAAGGCATATTTTATAGTACAAGTAATGTGGTCAAAGCCAACTGTTTCAATAGTTAACTGGAAGCAAGAGTTAACCAAAAGTCCTGGTGGATTAACAGTTGTCATTCAAATCCAACAACCACTTGGCCAGAGAAAAGATTATCCACCAATAAACCAGGTAAATGAAAAATCAAAGAGATGTATTATAAAGAGGGCTAATGAACTAAAGGTACAAACCTGAAAATATGTAATGCCCAGTAGAAAAAAGAAACAAAAATGAAAGCCTGGTAAACAAATAGTCTAAAGGTTAAAGGAGTCCAAGAAGACATTCTCCACAGTCCCTGTGAATCTACTTGCCCATCCTCCCTGACAAGCTGGTCATATTGAATGAAGGCTAGGCAGGGAAAGATCCCATACTTTTAATAGCACAGTTTAGTGGCAAGAACAGATAAATCACATATTTCTATAGACAAATTAACCAATAATTTTTGCATAATAAAACATTTTCATCTTATCAGTTGTGATTTTATTAAATATCCATAGGGATAAGTCACCTTTTCAATATAAACCTCACCTTACAAAACAAAAAACTAGTGCACGCTTACCTCAACTGTCTCAACTGTCCACTCATCTACTTGCTCTTTTTCACCACTGCTGAACTGTGTTTCTGCCATAAATTGTCTATTTACATACTGCAAAGCAAAGTAAATGTTTAAGAATGCTATATGAAAAGGCACAAAAGGCGTAAAGACCCCAAACTGAGCCCACGATCATCATGAGTCAATTGTGTCTCCTATAGGGAGTCTACTGAGCAGGGTAGAACTGCCCTTATGGGTTTCCAAGATTATAAGTAACTCTTTGCAGGAACAGAAAGCTTAACCATTCTCCCACAGAATGAAAAGTGATTTCAAACTGCTGCCTATGTGGTTAGCACCCACTGTACCACCAGGGCACCTATGAAGGGAAATGTAGCATTAAATACACATACCTCTGTTGATTCAACTTCATTCTGTTCAGTGTACTCCTCTGCTGGCTCAGGTTCTGAGGTAACATATGGCACAGAAGTGTAAACAATGTTTTTAAAGTGGAAAATTCAACTTAATGACTCCAAATGAGTAAGTACACAATTGGAACAAATTTACAAAGAGCTGACAGTAAATTTTATTATGCTGACCTGACAGTAGATTTCCTTTTTATTTACTTCAGAATAAAGTTGTTTCAACAGTAATTTTGCAACAGATAAATGCAAAGCAAGTTACTAAGTTAAAACCTCTGTCTAGTATAGAAACACATAGATTAAAAGTGGTAAAAAGGACTAAAAAAGACTAAAGTTTATGTACACCCTAAGTACCAGTTATATCTGATTTTCCTAATTTTCTATTTTTAAAAGTGCTTACCATGTCCCAGGTACTATCTACACTGTAAATAGAATGTAAATCCTATGAGAAAGCAGCTTTTATCCTTAGGCACAGAGAGGTTTCTACCCAAATTTACAGAGCTTGTAGGTAGTGGAGTCGAGACTTGAATCCAAAGTTTGATAAGGGAACCCATACCTTTTTTTCACCCCGTTATAAATTTATGTTCCACAAATGCTTCCACCGAAGCTAGTATTGTTTTTCATCAACTTGAGAGTACAGTAACATAAAAGTACTCAGGAAAATGCCAATGTCTGTGTTCACATAGTGATAGGTGAAGATCCCTTGTTATTTCCCCCAAAGCATACACTGGCAAGGCAAGAGTAAGTGCATGCAGTCACACATCTACTTGGAAAGCCTTACAACAAACAACTGGCCTCCACGAATACTCGAAGACCAGGAAGAGAATACCTCTGAGAATTAATCTTTTTGTTCTACCTTAACATATTTTAACATATTTAAAATTTCTTTTAAAACCTGAGTATACATATGTAATAACTATGACTACTACAGCTTAAACTCAAGGCAAGAAGAGTAAAACCAAGCTTGTAAACTCACCAGCTTCAGCTCCCTGCTCTTCAATTGCGGGTGCTGAGGCAGCCTCCTCTTCCTCACACAACCCATTTTGGTGGTTGTGAGTACTATCAAAGTAGTTTGACTGAAAAACCCGCTCAACAATTTCCTTTAGTGCTTTATCTAAAAATTAAGGGCAAGTTATGTTAGTTTACAACAGATTGAGCATTCTAACCAAAAACAAAACAAACTTCTTTACAGGAATAGAAAGCCTGTTTTTCTCCCTCACATTCACAACAGTAATATGCACATTAATGGCGTATATCTAGTAACAAATTCCAAAATTTGAGGCGAGAGTAATGTTGGCTGATGGCTGAGGTTATGTGCCAACCGGGTGCACCATGACTCTTAGTAGTTTGACAGTGATGTAATGATGTAATATGGCAGCTACATAATAATTTACACAAAATATACAAACATGTAGGAAAGAAACACTAAAAGGAAATAAACCAAAACGCAAACAATAGATGAATTTCTACTTTAACATTTTAATGACCATTACTACAAAGTAAAATCCGTAGTTAAAAAGTCAAAGTACCAATGATACTCACAGGTTGTTCCACAGACAGATTTTTCCTTCCCCTCCAGCAGGTCCCACAGGTGAACTGAGGCATGCTCATATTGCTCATTCAATCTTATAAAAGTAATCATATAATTATCTTTTTAGTTGTCAACTTAAAACTATACTTAATCAATTTCTATTTTCAAATATGCCTATACCTTAAGCTCATGTCTCGTTCAGGGTCCACTAACTTGTAGAAATCATCCAACAAGGTCAATTCCTCTTCAGATAATATCGGCACGCCATTCAAACCTTGCTTCAAGTCAGTTCGTATTTCCTCATCTCCCAATTTGTCCAAAACATACTGCAGCTCAAGCACAGTTTTTAAACGTTTCTGCTCTGCTTCTTCTCGCATAAGCTGCTCTCGACGTGCTGTCTTCTTTATTGTTTTCTGAATCTTAAAAAAAAAAGAATATGAACACAAGACACAGAAGTGAGTTTTAGAAAACAGCCTTTAAGTTCAATTTCAAATACAGCATTACTAAATAAGACAAACTTCAAGTGAGGTATGGTCCTAATAGATTAGTCCCAAATTACAAATTACAAAAAGGATGGGCCCTTTTATGCAGTTGTCAAAAAGTCAGATCACCTCACTCCCTTGACGATACTACTACTGAAATGTTATCATTGAAACCAAATTTCTGGTCTTGCTTCGAAAATAATATAGCAGACACATAGTATAAGGGAGTGGATACATGTAGAGATGACATGACTATGAGCTATGGTACATTGGGAGTTCATTATATTCTTTGCTCTAGTTTGGAGATTTAAAATTGAAATTTAAAATTGATTTTTAAATTTAAAATTGACATTTCCCTAACAGAACAAAACCTTTTATAAACGTTTATTTCCAAGTCCCATATACGCTAAATTTAACAAGGAAACTCATCACAGCCACAACAGGAGCATAGCTGTACTTATATCACCCTCGGTGGAATATGATCCAAAGTTTTAACTTTAGTACATAATACTGACTCTCAAGGAGATGCTACTACACTTCTCCTCCAAGTCTACGTCTATAATTATGCAAGTATTCCTTCATGTTGGAAAGTTTTTAGTAGTCTGGTGGTATAGTGGTTACACACTGGGCAGCGATTAACATCGTCGGCAGCTGAAAACCAGCTCCTATGCAGGACAAAGACTGGGTTTTCTACTCCACTAAACAGTCTCAGAAACTCAAGAGGGGGGAGAGGGTTACTATGAGTCAGCATTAACTCAATGGCAGTGGGTTTGGTTATATTTTTGGTTTGAGAGTTACTATAAAACTGATTTACTTGGAAGAAAAAAAAAGAAGAGTGGGGGGGGGGGGGATGCTGGAAACAGACGGTGCCAACAAAAGAATGTAAGAGCATTAGCCAAACTCAAAGTCATTTCTCACCTACTCTCTACATCAGGGAGCATGGAGAGGGAAAAGTCAGTCCTTTCAATAATCAAGGAAGTTTCCCCTCCCACTTTCTCCCTTATCTCAAAAAGGAAATGCGGACAGTACTGACCCATCACAAGGATTGTAAACAATGCCACAGAACAATCTGTGTCTTGGGAAAACAAATTGGCTATGCAAACTTTTACCTGAAGCATAAAACAAGCACACAAAAAAAATTAAGAAAGGTTTTACTCAGGGGGCAATGAGTTTGTTAACAGTGGTAGAATAATTTGGAAAAGGATTTCATTAATGGTTGTACAACACAACAAGTCAAGTATAATCCATGGCACTGAATTATACATTGAATTGGAGAATTATTTTGTTGTATATATCTTTGCCACTATTTAAAAAATAATTACATGAATAACAGTGAGTACAAGAAAAAGTTCTAAAATTGACTGTGGTAGTGATTAAATAAATCTTCTTGACATGACTGAACTATTGAATTGTATGATATCGAATTGTATGATGTGCCAATAAAAAATGTTTTAAAAACAAATAAAAAACGAAGAAAGCCACTTCAGAGGAAATGCACATTTCCTCTATGCAGGGAATGAGGTAAATAAAGCCTCTTTGTCTCTCACTGGCATCAAGTCCATGCTGGCTCATAATGACCCTCCAGGACAGGGAAGAACTGCCCTTCTGAGTTTCCCAGATTAACGAACTCTTTACAAGAGTAGAAAGCCAAGACTCTCTCCCTAGAAGCTACTGGTGGTTTCAAACTGCTGACCTTGTGGTTAGCCACCCAATAAGTAATCACTACACTACCAGGGCTCCTAGATAAAGTACAGAAAAAAATTAATTAGAGCAAAGTTGAAGACACTCTACAGCTAACAACTGCCAAAAAGATCCAGAAAAAGATTGTTTAGAACAATAATAAAATAGACATAAAAGATATCAATAATTCCATGTGTAGTAATAGTGGCATCAAAATTAGATGCTATATTTAGTTGTACACCAATTTTAACTTCCTATGACCCAAATTTTAAAATAAAGAAACTGGGTATGACGTATTAAGCCTGAGGCTCTGGCCTAATTTGTTAAGTGGAACAAATCCCTACCTGTATGTAAATTAAATTTCCTTTTCTCCATTTTCAGGTATATCATCAAAGTTTTCCATCTTTAATCAAATATAATAAGTAATGATAATATTAAGTACTTGAAATATTACAAACAAAATTGTTCTACGCACAATCTTATGAGAGTGGCACTATTACTATTACCACTTTATACAGATTAGAAAACTAAGATATTAAAATTTCCCAATAAGTAAAAGTGGCAGAATCAGGACTTTAACCTAAGCAGTCTGGTTCCTACGTCAGAACTGCTTAAACAAGCATTGTATTTTCTCTCAGACACTTCAATCAAGACTAAAAAGAGCCCCCGGTGGCATCAGTTTAAGTCCTCTGCTAACCGAAAGGATGGCATTTTAAAACCACCCAGGGACTTCACAGCACAAAGATCTAGCAGCCTCCTTCTATACAGATTTCAGCCCCTAGGAGTTGAAATTGGATCATTTGCATCTAATACTATTATTTCTGAGCACAACTTTTCAACAAATGGTTGGATATTGTTTATAATTTTCATCATATTCATCAAAGGCTTGTCACTTCAAGTTTTCTGGGAAAAACTCACCTCTGTTAAGATTAAAGAGTTAATAAGGAAAAGAGTATTGGTGCCACATTCCTCAAAACTCCTTATGGAGTGGTCACCAATTATACAAATAAGCCAAAGATTACATAGACAATAAATCCCCCTCAGGTTATAGATATATTTGTACAGCTAATTTTTAAAATCTGTGATCTTTTAGTGTAACTATTATACATTTCTCTATTATCTGAAACACCACCCTTTTAAAAGACACTTTTCAAGTGCTACATTAAGTCTTACGGAATTGGAATACATCTCAAAGTGAGCACTGAGTCCAGTGCTCACTTTGCTGGTAATTTAACTGAGTTCCAGAATGCTTATCAATGGTAACGCTAAGACCAAAACCCAAGAAAACATTTACCTTACCCCAATTTTTTACATTGCATATGCATATACAATTTTTTTACTTACATCTTGACTTAATGCCATGAAACTCCTCTGTAATTCTTTTGCAAATTCCAAATTGTTCGTAACTTCCTGGTACTTAGATACCGCGTCCTAAGTTGACAAAGATAGAACCCAATAATATAGTGAGCACAACCACAAAATTAGAAATAGGCATAAAATCCTTTTAAATATACAACATCTTTACCAGCTGATCTTGATTAAGCCTTTCCCCTTTGTTCATTCGTTCCTGGTAATCATCAAGCTTGCCCTATTTTTAAAAGAAAAGAAAATTATATCCCATAAGGAAGATATGCACTAGTACATGCTTAAATGGCAAAACTCTTAAAGTCCTCCTTAAATTTGTCTCAATTCTTTAAAAATACTTTCTAAATATAGTTGTTAGCACATGAAAGTGCCTCATTTTAACTGATAAGCCAAGAAATTAATTTTAATAGTCATGCATTACTTAAGTCCTCTACACATTCTGTGAAACTGGATGTCACAATTTAGATGTTATATGAAATTGCCTAAAATCTCAAGCAACAGCATTCATGCCTTTTCTACTTTTACGTTGCTCAATAACCTTTTGTTTCATTTCCAAATCCATACATATATGTCCCTTGCTGCTATTGGTAGCACCAGTTTTACTGCTTTTGGGAACTATGATGCACTTCATGGTAATGTTTTCAAAAGCAAATAGAACAGAAACAGCACTACAATACTAAAAAATGTATGATGCACCAAACGGAACTTGGTTGCCTCTCAAGTGGAAGCACACACAATAAACATAAAAGTTCACATAATACATATAAACCAGTAGCAAAGACTCTTATCAAGACTATTAAGGTATATGTACCATAGGTTGTACATGTAGCATACACCTGACATCACAATCACTTAGTATACAAGAGTCATGAGATGCACATGTGGTACGTGAAAAGCTGCATTCACCACATCCTGTTCTCCAACTAGGGTTTGTTAAATATATTGTAAATTCACAGCACACCACGGATGCAGCTGGATACTGCCTGAAAGGATGTTATGCAGCACCTCACTGTACCTTAATCATGCTGAATGAACCAAATATTGTAAATACTGCCTATTCCTTAGGTGTCCCAAACTAGATATGCATCAAATGGGTAATAAATAGTTCCCACGTACGTAGGTGGGGCTCACAACTTGTTTAGAATCCTGCTTATAAGCAGTGAGCCTATCAGGTATTTGCAAAGTGGTAAATTTTATTCACAGAAGTAAATAAGCACTAACTTTTAATTAACCTGAGAGAAACCTAAAGGGGAATCCATTGAAAGATAAGCAAAACACAAGATGAAACAGCACTAGCTTTGCACAACTTAAGTTTTCTAGAATTCTGCCTCCCTAAAGAGGAAAAAGATGGGGCTACAGCATCAAACGGGGCAGCAGTTCTAACCCTTCCCTATAGGGTAGCCATGAACTAGAACTGACTCAATGGCAAGGAGTTCTCAGGCCCTAAGACACAAGAAAATTCATGTGAACAGGTGACAGAAGAGTTTGTCCTGAGTAAAAGTACAGGCATTTTGTCTTTGATACTCTTCATCCAATATTCTTGAACAGTATGAGATACTTGCAGGATACAACCTCTTGGGGTTGTCATGTTACAAAAAGGCCACTAGTAATGAGATCTGTGAGTGCCTGAATCCATCTTCTCAGATGAGGCCACAAGTGACATAGAGCAAAAATCTATCCTACTGTGGCTACTGTGTGTCTGAGTCTCTGACTCATGGTAACTCCATGGCACATTGACACAAAACACTGCCTTTAACTCATGGAATCTGAGCAGAGAAGGATGCTGTTAGCCTAACTCAGTGGGTTTCGATGTGTGATCACCAAGCAGCATTAGCACCAATTGGGAACTTATTAAGACATGTAAACTCTCAGCCCTGAATCAGACCTGTTATCATAAGCTCTAGGGGTAAAGCTCAGTAATTGGACTTTGTCACTATGAGCAATTCCAGGAGCCCTGGTGGCATAGTGTTTATGCATTGGGCTGCAATCCACAAGCCCAATGTTTCAAAAGCACTAGCCACTATGTGGGAGAAAGATGAGGTTTTCTACTCTAATAAAAAGTTAGTCTTAGAAACCCGGAAAAGGGGGTTTAAATGGAGAGAAAATATTTTGAGAAACGATGTACAAATGCGCTTTACACAATTGATGTGTGTATGGATTGGGATAACAGTTGTATGAGCCCCTAATAAAATGTTAAAAAAGAAAAAAGAAAAAAAAAAAAGAAACCCGGAAAACCCACGGAAGCAGTTACCCCGCCCTATGGAGTTGCTCTAGGAGCCCTGGTGGGATAGTGATTCTACTTTGGGCTAAGATCCACAATGCCAGCAGTTAGAAACCACCAGTCTCTCTCCTTGGGAGAAAGACGGGGCTTTCTACTCCGATAGTCTCAGAAACGCAAGAGACAGTTCTACCCTGTCCTATAAAGTCACTATGAGTCAGCATCAACTCAATTGATGGCAGTGAGTTTTTAAGATGGGTGATGTCGCACACACACTTAAAGCTTGAAATTAAGTCCAAAACCTTGCAATCCCCTTATAAAAAGTCCAGCAGAGTCTGGAAATAAATTATTCATTCTCAAGCAAACAAATGATATGATTTAAGACCTTCAAAGAATTACATGGCAGCCTCAACTTGGAAATGTTCTCTGAAGGTTCAGTTTTAAAACAAACCAAACTGAAAACTTGAGTTTCTCAACAGGCTTGTAGGTGTAGTTAACCTATAACTTTTGATATAACATCTATGTCTGGCCTGGACACTCTCTTGGGAGCTCAGGAAAGCAGGAATTGTTCTCCAAGAAGGAAAAGTTCCCACCTCCCATTCACGTTAGTCTTGTATTGATGGTCGAAGCCCCAGTTTCAGAGTACTTACCACTAAACTCAAAGGTACATACCAAAATTTGCACTAGAACAAGAAAAAGCCACATAAGAGAATCAATTGATAGAATTTTCTACTTTCCAAAACAGCTTGCAATCCTGGCTCACTCTAGGATTTTGTGATTAAGAAATGATATCCTGGAGATCCCCTTGCAGAGGAGTCTCGGGGAGGAGATGAGCCAGTCAGGGTGCGATGTAACAATGATGAGAAATACAATCTTCCTCTAGTTCCTAAAGGTTTCCTCCCCACTCCCACTACCATGACTCGAATTCGATCTTGCAAGTCTGACTAGACCAGAAGAGGTACACTGGTACAGACAGGAACTGAAAATACAGGGAACCCAGGACGGATGAGCCCTATAGGACCAGTGGTGTGAGTGGCAAAACAGGGAGGGTAAAGGGAGAATGGGTAGGAAAGAGGGAACCGTTTACATGGAACTGTGTGTGATCTCCTCCCTGGGGGACAGACAACCTAAAAGTGGGTGAAGGGAGACGTCAGACAGGGCAAGATATGACAAAATACCCATTTATAAACTATCAAGGGCTCATGCGGGAGAGGGGAGCGGGGAGGGATGGGAAAAATGAGGAACTAATGTCGGGGGTTTAAATGGAGAGAAAATGTTTTGAGAAACGATATACAAATGCGCTTTACACAATTGATATGTGTATGGATTGGGATAACAGTTGTATGAGCCCCTAATAAAATGTTAAAAAATAAAAATTAAAAAAAAAAAAAAAAGAAATGATATCTACACTGGTCCCATCACTGAAAAAGCAGGAGATAAATGACATTATTCTAATTGGTTGTATCTCTATCATCACCATCTATTCAATTGGCTTCAATAAATCCACCAAACCCAGTGCCATTGAGTCAGCTGACTCATAAAAACTCCACAGGACAAAACACAACCTGTCCCAAGGCGGTAACTCTTTACTAAAGCAAACTGCCACATCTTTCTCTCATGGAGCAGCTACCTGGCTCAAACTGCTGACCATTTGGTTAGCAGCAGAGGGCTTAACCACTGTATCACCAGGGTTCCTTAAATTAAGTCTAGCAAGTAGAAAGTTGTCCTTTGCAAGATAAATTAATTCAATATAACTAAAAGGACATGCTTATCACACTGACAGATCTAAGATTAACCCCCAACAAAAACAAAGGGAAGGCAAATATTTCCCTATGGAATTTTGTCTTTCCCTTAACAGCCCAACACATAGAAGTTCATCCCTACACACACACACACACACACACACACACACACACACACACACGGCTGCCTAACACATGTTGTTAGCGGTCAATCCAGCCCTATGTGCAACAAAATCAAGCAACGTTATGTTTAAGCCCATGGTTGCCATCCATCTTACTGAGGGGCTTCTTTTTCAGGGACCTTCGTTTGTTCGGTTTTTTACCAAGTAGAGCAGTCATTTACTTACACAATTCACATGTAAATGATTACTTAGTGTCTTAGGGTTTTTTGTAAGAGAATGGAATTTTCCCTAGCACAAAAAAGTACCAGAGCTGGTCTGGTACTTTTACTGACATTACTGATAAAATCAACCTACCACTCTCATGAGGAAAAGTCAAAAATATTTCTGAGGGCTCCCAGTTCATTCATGCACTTTGATTACAAAGAAAACATGTTTAAACAGACCCCTGTAATCAGTGGATGGCTGCAGACAAGTTTTCAGCAATTCTACCATCTTATGTCTCATCAGAGTGCCGCCTTCAAAAAAGGTCCCCATCTAGTTTCCTAGGGGATCCAGTGAAATTCAAGGCACAGAGGTCACATCAGAAGGTTATGGTAACTTTTGGGGGGAGATTCAAAAGAATTAACAGAATTTCTCCAAAAACGTGGGGCAATCATAGGAACTAATTAGGAAGTGATGATTGTAAGATGGAGCGCTGCATTGTTGAGTAAAGCTGAATAATTTCTTTTCTATCATGACAATGCACTTACTTTCTTCCCATTTCACTGGAAAACGTTTTTATCCTAAACCCCTTCAGACTTCCTTTTGTTCTGCAAATTCAAAGAACACCTAAAAGGAACATTAACTGAATCCCTTAAGGATGTGAATACTGCCGTTTTGACCTGGCATAAATCAAAGAGCACAAAATTGGGGAGTCACTTCTTTCACAAGCATGTAGACTTCAGAAATACACAGATCTAGGAGGAGGGTATGTTGAAAAGCAATAGTTTCATATTTTGACATAATTTCTAGGATTTTACGCATGCACGTGCACGCACACACACAGCCATCAAACTTTATCTTTTGCCCCTGGATCTTCTGGCGGTGTCAAACTGCTGATTTTGCAGTTAGCGGCCCAGTGTGTAACCCACTACACTACCAGGGCTCCTT